GTGATGTATAACATCTTAAAAAAAGACTGAAACCGAATTCTTTCCTAAACAGGATATGAAGTCTAAAAGATCAAAGGAATTAATGATTTAGAAATGTTTCCTCTCATAACCAATGTTATATCGTTGACTGTAGATTTTTAAATTAGTGCATATAACTTATACTACTTAGTGATAGTAAGTAGTAACGACACGTGGTGGAACTCAATGGAGTATCTTCAGGATAGCTTTCTGTTTTCAGGTATGAGAAGTAAATCCTATAGGTTTTGCACAGTGCATAAAGTCAGGTTGCAGAGTGACAGATTCACACATGAGTCGTCTGAATCACAATAAATATTCTAAAAGCAAACTCTGTAAGCATCAGACAGACAGACAGACATCAGTATATTAATACTTAGACAAAACTCGATGAATTCTGTGTCTGAGTACAGCTGTACCTTAAAACAGAAGTATTCATATGGAGCTGTTACCTAAGATGAGGTTTTGTTGCATAAAAGTTCCGACAAAGTGCTGCATATTTGCATCAGTAAAAACTAGTGGAAAACGAAGCAAATTGATTGCGTATACGTATTTACAGTAAGCTGTCTGAATTGAATCCAGCTCAAGAGAGAAAGATAGAGAAACTGAGAGTTCTGATCAATTTTGATACCTATATCGAAGCATCAAGTAAGTTCTTCTATACGGATCAGAAACTTGGCGGGTCACAAAGAATATTTCCAACAGGTTGCAGACCTTCATCAACAACTGTCTTCGTTCTATACTCAAGATCAGATGGCCGGAAAGAATCACCAACAAGAAACTATGGGAACAAACAAAACAAGAACCAATCGCTCAACAAATATGCAGGAGAAAGTGGAGATGGATCAGACACTCGCTGAGGAGGCCGCTGGGTGACATAGCGCGTCAGGCCAGTGCTCAAGTGGAACCCGAAAGGGAAGCGGCGAGTGGGACGTCAGTGCAAGAGTGACATGGAGGAGATCATCTGAAGAGGAGTTGAAACAGTATGGAACAACATGGATGCAGGTGAAAAGTACAGCAGAAGACAGAAGCAAGTGGAGACGTGTAGTTGAAGCCCTATGTTCCACTAGGAACCCAGGGGAACAATAATAATAACGAAGCATAGTCAAGCAATTAATGATGGAGACGCCTAGCATGATACAAGATGCTTAGAAATCAACTTGATCTGATATAAAACAGTGAAGTACTAGCAACAATGGAATAAGGTCTGGAATAATATTGCTGTCAGTTAATGCACATATAAGATCAATATTTTAATCTACTATCTAGATGTATATAAACATTTTTAATTAATTGTACTTAACATCCTTCTCAGTCTCATTCAAAGCCACGGTGACACTAGCCTCTAGACAAGATTTGTGACTAACATATGGGTTAGAAAAGTAATTGCTGTAGATTAGCAAAACCACTAAACGTTATAAAAAAGAGATTCTCTGTAGTTATAATCCTAGTCACTTTTGATATTATATCAGTGCATTTTGATAGGCCACAATATGAAGCAAATATTACATACATTGATTTATAACATTCATAACGTTAACTATCCACAACTTTTCACATTGTGTAGACTTCTAATTAGTCTGAGATACACTTACTAATCAATACTTCATGTTGTTATAGAGACAAAGGAGCTTTAAAGACGTTTGTTGCTTTGTCCCACCATTAATTACAAGTTATACACTGTCTCCACCGCTGTGTCACACCATATACTAGCTATGTAAGAATAATTATTACGTGACACAATCTTATCCTCTTAAGAAAATCTAAAGTTTTCACCATGAAAGTAGGTCTGCAAACGCTTTCCAGTAACGTTGTATTTGGCAACCTACGTACAGACATTACACATAAAAAAGTGTATCACATATCACCAAAGATTATTAATGTGGGAAGTGAAATATACATTTTGAGTTATAAGTGTATTCGTAATCAAACAAGTAATCACAACAGCTAAAATAAGCTTAAAGTGATGCATATTAAGATAAAAAGAAGTTCAATTGATAAACTATTATGTACGTTCATTAAGATTTTGATCTAGTCGTATCGTGTAGAAGAATTCTAGCCCAGTTTATAGGCTGAGTCACTGAAATAAATAATAACAGTTGTACAAGGTATTATACTTACGAACTGACGTAAACCTTACTCATCAAATCATCACCATAACAACTAAGTAAAAAAATGCAGACGGATGAGTTAAGTGAAATCACGTGGACAAATGAGCATCTCATCACATGGCATTTCATTCCACTTATACAAATTCTTATTTGCAGAGTTGGACCCGACAAGTCACAACAGCCAGAAACGTTTGGGGAGAAAGATTATATATATATATATGATAACTACTAAATTAAACTACTTTTGGCTACATAAGTTGACCCGATTTATCCAGACAACTGCGTTTTATAATCAAACTAAACAGTGGAAAGTACGCATGCACTGAGGATATCATATAGCTAGAGAAATCAATAGTTTCTAGACTGTAGTTACCATCAACTATGCAATAACCTAGTTTCAAGAGACAAAAACAACAACTGAGACACTTCAATAAAGTGCAACAAACTTTCAAAACGTTTTCAGGATTAGTAATAAGATACTTATCGTATTTCAACTTATTGACATTAAAAAGCAAAAAATTAAAAACTGAATTATCGTATTTCTTAAGAAGAGGCAAACTGAATGCTGAAAACCTAGATGAAAAAACTTCTGACGCCTAGGTTTATTACATTAAGCACTTAACAGTGGGGTTATGAGTTTTATTCCATCTTCACCTACCGAGGTCGTACAGTTAAACAGCGTCATCAGCCGCCATATAATAGGTGTGGCTTATTGTACAACGTACTAACAGACATGCTTTCATTTAGTTGCATACCATATTATTAAAAAAAATTGTGCATTGGATGTTTCATAGAGTATAACTTTGCTGATAGACAATAAAACGTGCTCAAGATATGACCCAGTAAATAGTACTACATCACTAAGTGTACTACCAAACGCGCATATCTAATGTAGAATTACATTTTATCACAGGTGTGGAGCTCTTCTTCTGATGACAAAGGCGTTGACTGCTTAAATCACACAAGAAAGGATAACGACTGTTTAAAATCCGAAGTAATTCGGTGGATGGTGACTAACAGTGGAGTCTAGTGGATTCCACTGCTAGTCACCTCTCACCAAATTACTTCTAGTTAAATCATCAGACATCGTCGAAGTATCCACACAAGGAGCCAACATGTCAACAGAGATCAAACACTTCAGTCCAATCAATCAGTTAGAAAGTCAAAATTGAATTAAATAATTGTTTAAAATCCTCTAAATAAAACTTTTTTTTCTAAAATTATTGTGGTGTATGTGCGAAACAAGTATTTCGTTTACATACAGTCCTAAGTGTATTGACCAAAGTCCATCCTGTAAGATGTATACTGTGTTCACTAAGTGCACAGTAACTTGATAACAGACAGGTAGAGCTTCCTGTCGATGGATACCTTGTTACATAGAATGCCAAATTATAATGTGGGTCTCAGTGGTCACATAGAGCATTTCGATATACATGTTTATAACATAACAGATATGTTGGTTATCATTAAAAAACTAATGTAGCATAAGTAGTTGTCTTGAAGGGAGTCAGTCGTAACAAGAAAAAGTTTTCCTCTTATCTAATCTCATTTTTGCCACATATCCGCTTAGGAAATCGATTCAACGTACAAATATTGATTCCTGGAGAGCAAGTGACAAGAAGCCAACTAAAGATAAGTACTTCTCAGCTGTAATGGTAGTTTTCCAAGTGTCCATTGCCCTACTACAAATGGGCAACTTAGTGTATTCACAATAAATCAATACAGTATTGATAAATTACCTTCTCCGACCAATTATATTTCAAGAACTAGGTGAAATATCAAAACAAGATTGATGATTATTCTAAGGTTTCACCTCAGAAATTCTGTTACTATTACAGGAAGATTAGTATTTAAACTAGCAAACCGAAATCAATTTAATTCTTTCAAATTCACCTCTTATGAAATGACGCCGAGCTATTGGATGTTTGTGTATATGCTTTGAGTAAGGCTAGTACTCGTAATAAAATAACCAACAGAACCAACTGGAAGTGGGCCAGCAGTGCAATCCATGATGCTTGTTTCCGAAAGCCGAAGGTCGTGGTAACCCTTCAACACCTCACATACTAAAAGAGGTTCAGTTCAGCAATGTTATCAGGGAAGCGTAAGTGCATATGAAGAACATTCATAAGTCTAGATTAATGAATCCTTAATCCTACGACTTTTCTAACTTTAATAGACTTTTTTTCTTCCTTCGAGTAAAAGTAAGATAAAAAGCGAACTAAATTGTGAATCGTTGTGTAATAACTCAAATCTGCATCATGAACAAGATATGACTGACAACAACAGGGTTTAAGATAAGTCGTACGGATGAGTATCAACATTCATGTAACATCAATCAGGCACGACTTCTCACTTGACGCATTCTTACATCGAATAAAAGATGTTTGAACATATTCTCTACGCGCAATTTAGTTGACTGAAGATACTAAGTCAAAGAAAAGCATTCTGATGACAATTAAAAGATATTTGTTCAGCATAATTTGTGAGTTACGAAAGCATAATCCCACTAGTCAACCCTAAAATAAGTATTTACGATACAACTACGTCGACTGACAGTATAATCCCGACTGAAATACGATAAATACAAATACACCTAGATAATAAAAATAGTTCTAGCTATATACTGAAAAAGAAGAAATCAAATAGAATATTATAAATACTTCTTCTTAGTCGTGAAAACTCATAAGCAGCTAAACAATTAAATGCATAGTTATGCACTGGTGACTGTACACCTTATTGCTCGACACAATTGACAACACTAGTCATTTCCATCAACTGAAAACTATGTAATTTACAATTGAGAATTCTTCATATAAAGACACACTTAACGTACTGTTTACCATAAAATAAATCACGCCATCAAAAATGCGTATTCCCTTAGATAAAAAATCTTGTATTAATTACCACTGGAAGCAAACAAGCATTTTCATCTTGAGAAGGAAAAACAAGAGTTTGCATTACGACAGATTTTTTTTTGAATCATTAAAAACAAAAAAAGAAAAACTATACAATCGGTAAGTAAAAGGAACAGGAAAATCAAATATAAGAGTTATTGAAAAACATTTTTTTCGATAGAAACAGGGTGTGTCTAATCAATCGGTCGCTGAATATCTACAATGATACACGATTATTAATTGTTATTTTTATTACTAGATTGTTCAGCGAAATTGATAGTTTTTTGTACAGCATTAATTAACTGTTCAATCATTTGGCATTGTTGACGTAAATGAGGTGCATAAGCTGGCCAACGGCATATTGGACAATCGAAAGCACCAGTATCTAACCATTTTCGAATACAGTGTTCATGAAAACCATGACCACATGGTAGTGCACTCAATCTTACACCTGAACGAAATTTTTGCCAGCACACAACACATTCTTTGCATGGTACAACCCAAGATGGCCAATCGTTTAAAGGAACTGTACAATTAACATCATTAGATGACACAGATGAGGAGGAGGAGGCAGATGAATTGTGGTTATTTGCTGTGAGAGTAGCATTTTCACGAGAGTAAATATTACGATTAGAACGATATGCCTGATCATCATTACTACCTACATCAGAGGTGGAACTTGATCGTGAGCAGAAAGAAATTGGATGAGATGAATGGATGCCACGTAAAGCTGGATGGCGGACATTTCTTCTTTTGATATGAGATGAAAATCTCCGACAGCCGCCATTATTGTCGTCATCATCACTTGTACCTTCAAATTCATCCTCAGCTTCATAGTTAATATCTGTTGCATTAAACGTGACCGGCTTAGTAGTAGGACATAATTTTCTTGTATGTGGATGATAATGATTGGTATTTACACCAGTAGAAGACTTAACGTTATTATTATTATTGCCAAATGAATTTAAACAATTCCAAGTATACATATGTGCTGCAGTTACATGACTCGATTCATCAGGAATTCTGCTTCCTTGATAATATGAATCTGGTAATGAAAAAGAAGCGACTGGATTCATCGAAGTCGATGATAGATGACCTGTCTGCTGACTGAGAATATGATATAGTCTTCGTAGTCTACGTAATAAACGATTTCCTTCAATAACCTCCATATTTTCCTCCTGATTATTCGTATTCGACTTAAACATTGTAGCATCTGATGACTTGTGTTCACTCACAGACTTTCCTTTGTTATTACATGTTTGGTAATCACGATGACTGTCTGATTCTAGTGTACTTGAAGCTGTAGAATCTGCAGAACCAGATTTTAATTCAATGTCTGACTGAATAAGTAAGCGTGATAATTCATTCCACAATTGATCGGGTGATATCTGATTAAGGCGTTCGCGAACTAGAACAGGATCTAATCGATTAAAACGTCGAGAACGTGAACTGTTAGAAGGACTATTATTATTGTTCTTCTTGTACTTCAGCATTAAAGAATGAACTCTACTCGACAACACTACTAAGAACAACCATGAAGCTAGAATAACTTGTAACAAGTTAAACCATTTTAAATGACCTGTTAGAATAGACAAACGCAATTTGACTATGGGTGAGGACAAAGAGAATGACCTGAGAAACCAAAGATTTAAGTTGACAACTGGTAAAGCATAAGATAAACTTAATATATTTATAATTGGTAATATAGTTAAAAGTAGAAGAATGTGGGCTGAGATTAGATCAAGAAGAAATATTTTAATCCATTCAAAGATATGAGACAATATAAGTGATTTCATACTGGCTGGTGATGAGTTGGACGGTGAAATGTCCTGTCTATCTTCATGCACCAAACGACTTTGATCAGTTGGGTGATAATAATTATTAGTTGATTCATCAAACGTTGAATGGTGGTCAGTATTAAAATTAGGAATGTGTGATGTCCATCCTTGGCGTGCTAGTCTAATTACAGTTCTTGCTAAGGCTGAACGACGTGTAGCAACAGATGAACGATTATTGTTGCGATTTGTATGAAAATTATTATTACCACTAGCATTTGACGAATGTGTAATAACAAATAATATCCGTCCAGCTTCGACGGCGCCATTTATGAAAACCAAAATGTTAGTTGCAAATACTAACATCCAAAGGAAATCATCGGCCGAAGGATATAATGAATGCAACAACATTTCAAGATTCTCATAGCTTAAATATTCTTTCCTATTTAAACCGAATGGATAACATCTCCCCTCTGGCGTCAGGATTACAAAGCGGGATTTAGAAGAACAGTTCATATTGTTTAACAAATCAGAGACTGTACCAATAGATGATGTAGTTACTGGCCAGTTATCAACGTTAGTATTCACAGTTGTGGATTTTTGATTAAATAAATCGTATGGCACAGACCAAAACCGAACTCGACCAGTATATGTGACAGAAAGTGCACTTAAAACTAATGGTGGTTGATATTTGTTAGTCAATTTGGTTTCATATGAAATCTCCGGGAGCCATAGAACATGTATTGGTTGAGGTTTCTTATATAACCATGAAGACCATAAATGCTTTAAATAATTATTCCGAAGCATGCGATTACCAGGCAATACTGAGCTCACTGGATAAATATCGCGTACGTCCTTTAACACTTTAACACGTTCTGCTAACACCGATACAATCCATGAGTGAATGATGTCTAAAATGTATTTACTTGATCCATGATCAACAACTTCTTTCGATTTTTGATCTTTAGGTAAAGGACGGAATTGTACCATATCTTTCATACGTTCACCACCTTTGGGTAAAGCGAGGATAAGATCTGGATTAATGAAACCTCGTTCGATGCACAAGCTGAAACAATGGAAAATATTTACTAATTTAAAATTCAACACATAGAAAAACTAAACAAACGATCTAATAGATCTAATAACAAAACACTAGAATCTTTGTGACAAATGCTGAGAATTCCATTCTGTATTATAAGTACTGTTTTTGAAATAAAGTAAATTATTATTATTATTATCTTAGAACGACGTTTACTAATTCACTACAATAAACGGTACGTAGAACAACTGCGTTGCTAGTTTCCTTTAATGGACAACCAACTGTAAATTATTTTTTGATGGAACTCAGGTGTATTCGATGATAATGTCATATCACGCATCATGAATGTTAAAAAGTCAATCAAGGGTGAATGCCACTTCAGCACTTATTTGAGTCCTACAGTGACTCCACTAATTCTCAAGCAAGATTTTTAAGGAAGGCTGAATTTATTGGAATCTATAACAATGAACTGGTAGCATTCATCAAATTGACAGCTATATTCACGGAACATTAAAATGAAACTGAAATAAAATTTGCACTTACATGCACGACGGCTAATAATATTATATGGTCCCCAAGACTCGGCAGCCTAGCTGGAGTTCACACTCCTAATCCAGTGACTTAAATTCGAGTTCCTAATCCAATGAGCAATATATCCAAGATCTAAGTGCTTACTCACGAAGACAACCAGATACTTAGTTTTTTTAACACTAAGGATAAATATAAGTGAAGGCTTCCTGAATCTTATTTAAACAGTATGTTGCTTTAAATCGTCTACCAAGGTATAGAAATTTAAAAAAACCTTCACATGAAAACTTTTCAAAAGGTCAAATAACTGTTAAATCTTTCCTTTTTAAATGTTACTTCAACCTTAAAGCTGACACAAGCAACAGAAAGGTGAATTCAACTATCAACTGTGATAACTAAAAAAAGTACTAAAACATATAAGATGGCAACCGTTTTCACATGTGTCTGTGAGAACACCGGCTATAGGCTTAGAAGTCAACAAATGAATAAGGCGGATAAAGGATAAAAATAGCATAACTCAGTAAACACGCACAGGTTTATGTATTGAAATACATATCGTGTTGCAAATGAGTCAGTTGATAATACTGCATGATCATTTGTAGTTGGGTGAGGGGGTGGTGTTTCTACTGAAATAATAGTTATTTATACGAATAAACCACAATTTTACGTATAAGAAAATCGATTAATAGTTGGCAAACTCAAGTTGGTTTGTTTAAGGGTGTGTTAATTTTTGTAAAACTGCTGCTTCGTTTAGAAAGATCTGCATGATACAGAGGATCTAGACATGATAGAGTATCCTAAAGTGATAGAACCTACTAAACAAATAAAATAGTTAGTCCTTACTAGCTAAGTCCAACCGAGATCACTGCCCAATTTAACATTTAATAAAAAAAGCAAGATTTACAAGCATTACGGGATGAAAACTGGTACAATCCTTCAGCCACACTAACTTAGGTCGGTGGATTGAAACTTCCACAAGTGAATGCTGCAAAAAGATAATTTCTTCAAGTAAGTAGAGGATAAGGAGGAATACAAATTAAACAACTGAAGTAAAAATAATACAAAATTTCCTAGTGAAGGCAAAAATGATTTCGTTAGGGTGAATAACAAATTTAAAACAAGCAATAAAGGTTAATAAAGCAGGATTTAATGAATTCATCAAATTTCGGTAGAACTCGTCAGCTGAATACTCTACATACACGGATATATATACTTTTGAAATTACATTGGGAGATATAGGACTGATAAGTAAACAAACTACATTGAATTAGTCATGCAGAAAGACAGGTGCGAATGCTTTTCCAGGTCATGTTCAATTAGATAAGGGGAGAGAGAGAGTATGGGAGATCAAAATTAAGATAAATTGCATTACGCTTCAATTACATCACTTAGATAAACAATTAGACATTAGAGAATTTAACAAGAATTGCAACCAGAGGGATGTCAATAGTAATAGTTATAATAATAACAATAATAATAATAGTGTTGAAGTGAGTTAAGATAATCCTACTGATAAAGGATAGTTTTAAATGGATCAAGAATAATAATAATGAGAATAATAATAATGAAAATAATAATAAGAGGTAGAATTATAAGTAAAACGTATTACCATGGTAGATTCAGAGTCACGACCATCTCCTTTTGTACACAGAGACCTGGTTTGTGAACTCGAATTGCACAAGCCTCTGCAATTGCAAGCATCTTCTTGTTTCTTTGTCTGCTGACAATGGTGAATGACTTGACCGCGTCGATATCATGCCCGTAATCCACAAGATGCTTTGTTATTGAGGATTTTGGCACTTTGCACTCAGCTGTTTTCAACCATTTTGACAAATGCTCCATCATGCGAGTAGACAATCTCCTTTCCGTACGACCTATGTATTTACTTCCACAAACACACTCAAATTGATATACGCAGTTTGAAGTGTCGAGGATTGGCGACTGGTCTTTCCCAGATTGTTGAAGCACTCGCTTAGCGGTGTTAAGGAAAACAAGTTTTACAGCATAATAAGTTCTCTTGATGGCTTTGTCGAGTCTTCGTTTAACTACTTCCTGTACATCATCTCCTTTGAACGGCAAACTGATCTAGACAGGTTTCTTCGGAACTGTTTGGATTGAATAACAAATATCAAATCCACAAACCAAAAAAAATGTCTTCATGATGCTAAACAAAAATGAATAAATGATTTAATTATACAAACACCACTAGCAAATGCTTACCTATGAAGCTTTTCACAGTTAAGCAAACCTGTCTTGAATCCGAATGACTGATATCGATAACTTAAAACAGCCCAAATCTCCTCCGAAATGACTGACGCAGGTTTAATTCTGGATTTGACTTTTTGATCTGTAGTTGACGAGAAAGAAGACTGTGGAGAAGCCACAGCTAAAAGCCATACACTGTCTTTTTTATCTTCAACATGTTCGATAAATTCAGATTCACTATCAAATACGATGCTATTCGATTTGAAACTGGATGGCGTGGGATTCGAATCCATTGGTTGATAATTTGAATGTGATAATTTCCGATAGACGAAAGCATCTGGACTTTTTGAGAAATCCATGTTTGCATGCTTTGATTGTTTGGCTTGCGCATTCTTAAGTTCATTTGGGGTGATAAAACCTATAGCAGAGTATTAATTTTAACATTACATGTAAGTAGAAGGCTTATATAGGGTAAGATTTATTTAGATAAATTCTTTGGAACTGAATAGGATATGATCAGTGTTCTTTTAAAAGATACAGAAAAACTGGGTTGGAATATTGCTAATCTGGTGTGTCGCTCTAGCTCTTCATAAACTATTACTAACCACAATGTTGACATCAACAGCGCAAATACATAAACAAACAATCTTCAAGAATTAGTAAGAACTAAGGGGATAATTGTATACACGATTGAGACACTCTGGATTTACTGTTCCCCAACTCTATGGCCTGGCGAAAATCTACCACTTCGTCCACTTCTAGACACGACAGGTTCACCTTATCATTATGTCATCAAGTGGACAGCAAGACTACTGGAATCATTAAGAAGGTAATTAATAAGCTACTATTTGCATGATACATGAGAATTTATTAGTATCAGTGATAATACTTATGTTAGTGAGGAAACTATGTTGTCGCCAGATGTATGCTCACTGTTTGCTAACGTTCAGTTAAATCAAACAGTATGTATATAATCACATAGACTTACACAATGTGAACATAGGAATACCTACATCATATTTAAAAGAGCTTATGATTCGGAGTACATCGCATGTCCAATTTCATTTTAACGATGACATTTATAGACATAAAGATAGGGTTGCCGTAAATTCGCCATTATGTCCCTTGCTAGTGGGTTTGTTTTTGGTTAGTATAAAGAACAGTACCGTTGCATTTGCAACTAAGCGACTGAAGGTTTAAAGATACGAGGATAACACGTTTTTCTTATGTGATGAAAACTTGGATTTGGAAGACATCCTGAAAGTACTCAATGACAGTCATTCTGCTATCCGGTTTATCTTTAAAAAAAAGAAACATCAAAATATCTTTACTTGATTTGTTCTTCACAAGGAGAGCTGATGGGTCAATTTACAGAAAATCGACGTAAACCGGAAAAATGATTAACTATTAAAATCTTGTTCCCATGGATAAAAAAGGATTTAATCAGTTCTGTCTTAACACTTATTCGGAGAATTTGTAGTGAAGACAGTGTTGATTAAGAACCTAAACAATTTAAAGAAACTTCAATGGGGAATGGGTATCTATTCTGCTTCGTCGAGGCTAATAACAAATTACATGACAAAAATACAGAGTGAAGCAAAGTACCAAAGGAAGTGTTGCACATAAACTCAAAATTCGGGGCCGACACTCCCAGTGAACTCCTTAAAAAGTGACTGACAAAATCTCCAAAGAAAATATTCTTTGCTGCCATTCTAAGAACAACTAACTGTGGCCGTCCACTAGTGCACCCTTATGTTACTGCTGCTGATATATAACGAAATATCAAGTAAAGTGTAGGATTTAAGCAATCAGTAATAAAACGAGATATATAGAAATTATATCGCTATTAGTGTCTGGAAAATAATACTAGGGTAATCAGTAGACTGAATATAATAATTTCAGCACTGCTTCCGATAGTACGAATCCCAAACTACAATAGATAACACTTCGAAATGCACAAACGCTGAACGAATTTTGGAATGTTTATGAATGCTCCCACACAAAGCAAGTAATTAGTTGCCTTGAGTTCACTACTTCTCTCACATTTAATTCATAACACCAAACAAAATCATGAATTATGAATGCTACGTCTGGCAGTGTACATCTATAAGTGACTCAGAGCATGTAGGCAAATAGTCATATACTGAAACGTATGATTCATTGGATTGTTAACTTACCTGTTGAATTTACTGCTGATTCTATATCCTTTCGTTCTAACAATGAAGAGTACAAGACGCCACGTTGGTCTAAAACGGCCTTTAGTTGGGAACTGCTTAGACGATTTCCTTTTTCATAAGTTTCTTCTGAACCATCCACGTCTGCAAGGTCAGCATCAATATCAGATATGATTTCATCCATTAGCCTGTACATATAGGCCGCAGAACAAATAGACAAGGTGAAACATGTTATTAGGCCAACATTGGAACGAATACGCTTAGACGCTGGATATTCAGAAGTGACAACACTTAGTTGTGCACACATTTGCGGCGAAATAAGAATAACCAACGTCAAAGTTCGCGACGTCAAAGCAACTACTCGACCTTCTCTTCACCTCATCAAAACAAAGTCTTTTGTTCCTAGGCTCTAAGTTTACAATCTCAGAATCTATTTAGAAACTAACATATTTCCGTCACCATAGTACAACTAGGGCTAGAATAAGCATATTTAACTGAAATTAATAAACATTAACCAAATATTCCTTAGAAGTTTAAAATGTCTTAAGCTTACTTTTAATTGGAATGCACCCAGCCAATTTCTGCACCCCATTTAATGTCCCTCTTGTGCTGATTCACATGCACACCCCGTTCATACACTGGGTGACTGTTTCCCTAAGCGTCGATCTCCAGCAAACTTGACTTTAAGATTGTCGATTGTGATATTCTAGTTTATTTTAATGACATGCTGAAATTTGTGTATATAATAAGTTTTGATATCTTTGGGTTTCTTCTCACGCCGCTTTCCCTAACTTGCGGCAAGCGGACTTTCCGACACTTCACTTGAGATATCTTATGCGGACAAGAATTCGTCTTTGCCCACATGGTTGATGGTGGAACTGACAGTAATCACTTACAAAGGATGTTAATTAGACTATCAGAATTTCCAGTAACAGTAAACCCAGCCAAATTCCAGATTATCTTCCGTTAAATGATTTTCCTTTGATATGTGATTGGCACTCTTCACCTTCGAAAGAAAGTGAAGACAACTGAGGATTTTTAAGTCCCACCCTCTCTCAAATCTTTGTGCACATTTACACGTACGGCAAGTGATTACGGGCGCCTTGTTTAGCAGTGTGTTCATTTCAGTGCTAGCCTTTCCTTATGACTTAGCACGTACTTCCTGAGAAGATCAAAAGCAAAATATTGTGCAATATGTCTACGGGCGCCTCGTCACTCGTTTGTCTTTGCGTCTGACAGTCTTTGAATCTCTTGGCAGTCTCTCACGCTCTGGTAACCTTGCCACAAATAAGATAATATAGGCTATATATATAATCTGTTCAAACAATAGGACTAGAAATGGAACCACCGAACTTTTGACCAGAGGGCGAATTAACTGCTCCTGTCACTATGAGCTCACTGGATGTATGGCCACTAGAATGTCACCCATAGCATCGGAGGCTCTTACACAGTGGGAACCAGTCCGTTTAAGGACTATGACTGTAATACCTAACTCAAAAGGAAATAAATTCATAACTATACAATTAAACGTACCTACAAGCGGGTTGATACAGATGGACATACTCAAATCATCCCCAAGAAAACTGATGTGCAGTTTGCTGAATGCACAGTCGAGAAGGGAGAGTGATGCTCAGGTAGGCTCCGTGTGCTTTTGGAAGTGTGTGGGTGGTCGTTACTTCCCGGCTGCCCACACCGTGGAAGTTGGTTGAGTCTCCAGGTACCTGAAATAGAGAATAAGTTAGTGTTGCGTGACCGCAGAGCCCAGGGGACAACTGCTTGAGGTCGGTTACACGCGGCCTGTTTTCGTTTGTTCTTTCTTGTTTGGTGTGTCTCAGTAGCATATTTATCACTTCTGCCCTGTGAAACGGCAGCAGGAAGCGCGGTCGTTGTTAATCCGGGCCCCGACTGATCCGGCATGATATTTTGTGATTTACTTTGAGTCATAGCATTGGGTTGGGTAACTGCTTTTTGTCTAACCACTATCCAAACAACCTTTCTGACATGTAGGACCTACAGGAACATAAGTTCCATCCATTGTAGCTCGTTGGGTCATTGCGATAGGCAAGCCCGACCACCACGTCAAGGTAACAGCTATCGGTAGGGACGGTAATAACCAAAGGTTGGAAACAATTGGTGACATGGCTCAAAATCGTTCTCAGTGGCGCAGATGCATCCACTCCTTGTGACTTATGATTTCCAATTAAACTGTTTTGGTCTTCGTTATTACTATTCCTTTGTCTCACACCTCTGTTTACTGTCTATATATATGCATTTCTCCTACTTTCTTCTCTTACCTTGTGTGCTACATGGAGTGTGGCGACTTGAACTGCCGCACATATGTGCAAAGTTCTATGTCGAAAACCGATCGACCGACAGTTGAGAAGAGGAGAGGATAGAATTAAGCATAACTTTCTCATGATAGGAATCTTAGAGATCGGGTTAAAAGACTTCAAAGTAGCGGGAGATCGACTACAGTTGAGGTTCAGCGCTAAGAAACTTAAGAATGAAACTAAAAAAGACACTCCAGCCGTTTACGAGTAGTGGAAAGCGTTAAGCATTGATACCGAAGAAACCTCTGTGGAGGAATCCTTGAACTCTCTGAAAGTAGCACTGAAGGAAACCAGTGCAACTACCATAGGAAGGGAGAAGAAACAAGACAAGGAATTTACCTCTGAGGGCAAATGAAAGCTAATAAATAAGAGGGTAGTGGGGCAAAAGTTGACCATTACAGAAATGAGCAGCGGGAGAAGCTGGGTTCAAACTTCAGTGCGCCGAACTAAGAAATGAGGAAGAGGCTAAAGGAGACAATATGCGATTTTATGACATTCAGAGCTGAATTACGAAAAGCCGCAGACAGATCAGACCTCAGTTCAGGGAACTAGGTATCGTTTCAAGATGAGCTCGATACTGGTGAAGCCAGCGAAAGATAGTGAAGGGAACCTAGTTGCCTGGAAGCGTGAGCTGAAGAAATAACGGTGTAAAAGTCCGGGAAGGCAGGAGAACCAGAAGTAATTCCACCAGAAACACTGAATTAAACCCAGGCTTCTTACCTTATGTACTGACAAGTCTGCTAGGGAGTAAAGGCATCCGTAGATCGTAAGATTGGCTACCATTTGAAGCTACCAAGTAAGGCGCCTTTATGCAAAAACTGGGGTTAAATAATCGTTCTTTTTACTGTAAGCAAAATATTTTGCGACACCATCTACAAGAGGCTTAGAGTTTGCCTGCTAGCAGATTGCACCAGGAATATTTTGCATTTGAGAAACAAAAACCATGCGGGGATCCAACTGCAGCTTTGCGAAACATCTGACTGAATCTTTTGGCAGACCATGGAGAGTCAGCAAAAGGACATGCGTTGGAGTGGTAAAAGATCTGCATTTCGTTGAGACAAGAAAGTCATTAGAAGAGGCAGTGAATGCTTAATTTCAGGTGCACACACTAGATACGGATGATGATGACATCCATCTAATAACGACAAACACAAGAAGTTATTAAACAGAAAAATCTAGACTAAGTCACCTCCACCACTTACCAAGACGGCATCGTCCCAGCTAAAGGTAGCACATGCCAGGAAATAAGAGGCAAGAATGGAGAAACAGGGCAGACTTTAATTACTCTGAAATCAGTGTGGGGGTCTACAGAGATCGTCGCAAGGGACAGGATCCGAACTTTCGATAATGATTTCAAGTTAAGGCTTCCGTGTGATTGAGACCTGACGCATGTGTAACCAACACCCCCAATAGGCTGCTGGTTTTCATGAGCAGCTGCTTTCGTTGAATCCTGGAAATTGGATGATCGCGAAGAAGGATGATCAACAAGGAACTGTTTAAGTTAGTGAACAAGCCAAAGAGCTTTTGCCCGACGTATGTGCATAAGAAATGTAATTCACTGGATGGAGAATTCGGTCATTAGCTAACATCAGCTAGAGGACTATTGGAAGCACTTGATAGCTGCTTCGTCCTCGTTTTGGACTCTTCAACAGTACCCGCCCACCTCAAAGGGGTTAGAACCCAGATCCATCTGGTTATAAGGCGAGCTCGTAGACCATTAAGCCACTATGAATCAATTCATGGGCCATCAGCGTTCACTAAATGCAGGCTTCCTTGGCGTACTTCATCAGATGAACTTTAAAGCAATGAATTGAATCAATTCAGACGCAGAGTTGGCCATACGTGCCTGGTGTCATTCTGCTTGTACCTGCTATCGTCTTCATTGAGAACAACTGCACAAGAGGTGTTTTCTGCTTCCTCACGTCATTATGCTATAAAAACGTAGAAGTCGAAATATCCTAGTGAATCGATAGTTGAACGAATTCTCTGTGCAGAACTAAAATTTACTCCGATATACATACTTTGCTCACAACCATTACGTTCACATGTGGTTTACGCTTAGAACTAATATTCAGTGCGACAGGTTCTATTAAATATACTACTCTAATGACCAAAGCAAGAACAACACATAGGTCAAGATAAAATGACGTTATTAAAGTGAATTAGTCCTTGATAGCAGCATACAGCCACAAGTATTTTGATGTCAGTACAGAAAATCTTTAAATACTGTAGTTATCGTAAGGACAGTAGATGTTATTTAATGAAAAGTGATTCAGCTGCATATTAGAGGTAAATAAAAATTGTTGTTTAACTCAAGTGAATAGTGTATATCTGATAACGTGACTTTACATCAATAGACTAATGAAGCTGCTATTAATCCTGGGTTATTACGTTTACTTTTACGAAGTGAAGTGACACCATTTTGCTATCTCGCTGTGTGAAGATGTGCAACTGGCTAAATGAGGTGGCTCTAGAGTAACGAATCTCACAGCATTATTTTTCATTTTGCTTAACCAGATGTAATCTTCGCAGCATGCATGTGCACATGAACAGACGCAATACCCTGCTATCACCAAAGTAATGATCTCTTAACTCTACAATAAGTTTCTACCTCATTAACTAAGCTTAACATGCATTGGACCAAATTCACGTATTACAATAGCCCATAGTAATGAGGCATATGAAAGAAGTCCGAAAGTAGTAGAAACTAGTAATATATTAAAAATTCCATTAATTTACAGAAGACAGTTCAGATGAAGAGTATCAGCGTTAGCTCAACAGGCTAATACTTTCACTAACATCATATTCGACAACCTTCACGTACCTAAAAAAATAAAGGGTATGTAGGGACTAGCAAAACACGGTGTTGTAAAAGATAATTATATATTTGGTACGCAAAATAATAGCTCGTATTTCGTATAAAGGAGTGTGTTTACATGAAATGCATGCCATTTTTACAGGCACGATCAGATATGCCGCAAGTTCCAATTGATAAATATCATAAATTAGCACATTTTCAAAAGTTCAAATTGTTAGCTTATAGCACAAGCAGTCAGAGTGG